TTGCTTCTGAGCTTGATGGCCGCTTGATTACCTTCAAGCCTTTAAGACCCCAGACACTATACTTTTTGATAGCCAGGCACCATCAGCTTTCTTCGCCACATTTGTTTACGCACCCATTTGTCTTCAGTTATCCCTGGAACACCTCGTTATCACACAGGCTGATATGTGGCTTTGTTGGGCTTTGTTGGCCACTTGTTTACCTTCAAGCTTTTAAGACCCCAGACGCTATATCTGTTGAGACAGGCACCATCAGCTTTCTTCACCACATTTGCTTATTTACCCACTTTGTCTTCAGTGGTTGTGTTGGGAAGGTGGGCATCATAGAATGCCCATTCAATAGAAGAAAGTATTTTTGCATTGAGGGAGTATTTGAGTGGAGGCCCAATGTCCTTCTGCTACCTTAATGCTAAACCTATAAATATAGGCACATAGATCTATTTCCCCATCCTCATAAAATATTTGCATATGTACATGTCTTTATCTAGACCTCTATAAATGCCCTTTGCCTCCCAGCTCTTTCCTCTATTTCACTTGATTTTCCTCCTGTCCTACTATCATGCTCAGTCGCCACCAGGGTTTCAGCACTTCCTATTTGTTAAATTCCCCTTGATCATACCCTACCAGGCCTCCCACACCCACCTCACCACCAATTTGGATCACTCGTTGTTCCCTTGTCCCTGCGTTTTTTAATGCCACTTCGTTTCCCCCCACCTCCCCCTCCCATGTCCCCCCGGAACTGTTGGTCCCGTTGTTTTCTCCTCCAGATTGTTCATCCTGCCTATCGTATTTAGACAGACCTGTGGAGATACTAACATGCACAAAAACAAAACAGAGCAAAACCAATGAATTTTCTTCTAACACTGCAGGGCAGTGACTTATTTGATGTGGCTCTTCCAGCCATAATCTCTGTTAACTCCACCAAAGCACCCTTGCATCTGGGTAGGAAGGTGGGAGAAGAGACTGCTAGGATGTGTTGTTTGTGCTTTTTAACAAGATTCATTGTGATTGCCATCCTGGTGCACAGCAAATGAGCCCTTTCAGAAGGAAGAGGGGAAATCTCACTATCAGCAAGAGACAAGAGTGGAGTGTGTCCTCTGGACCCTGAGAACCGTGTGCATTGAATCCCTTTGATCCAGAAGAGAGCTGTGACACCACAAGAGTGGCAGAAAACCAGTAGCAGCAGCCGAACTAGGAGCCAGAGCATGAGATAGCAGCAGGCTTTCCAGCCCACAGAACACATCAAAAAATGCTTTTTGGTAGCATGCTGGCTTGTGGAGTGGGTTCCTCTAGGCCAGAGGTCCTCAAACTTTTTTAACAGGGGGTCAGTTCACTGTCTCTCAGACCAGTTGGAGGGCCGGACTATAGTTTTTAAAAAAAACTATGAACAAATTCCTATGCACACTGCACATATCTTATTTTCAAGTAAAAAACAAACGGGGCGAAAACACCCAGCGGGACGGATAAATGTCCTCGGCGGGCCGTAGTATGAGGACGCTTAATCTAGGCACTTAATCTGGCTGACCTATGAAGTTGAAGCTCAGTGTTTAAGGGCTGAGGTTTACAGTGAATGCCCCGGGGACATTCATTAGCAGCTCTGAAATAACTTTGCAACACATCCTGACTGAAGGACTCTATCTCAAGCATTTCCATCTAGATTGTAACCTGTTAATTTCCACAATTAACCCCATAATAATGAGCCTTGTTTTGAGGTCTGTGTGGTCACCGCAATGAAGTCTAGAACCTAGAAGAAAATTAAACTGTTATATGAGGCAGAACATTTTGGTATCAGAAGTAGGACCCCCCCCACCCAATGGGACTGAACAACAGAACTGTACGGGAAGGGAAGGGATATATGCAAATTAGTAAGATATGTCAATAAAATCATTATTTAAATTTTTAAAAAGAAAACTACTTCCTACAATGTGCGTAAATATTAAAAGAAGGAGAAGAACGGAAGGAAGGAGGAGGATTCATTGCATTGGTTCAGGACTCATGGAAACATGGGGTTTTGTAAGAGAAGGAACCAAGGAGGAATGGGAAGTAAACTTTCGATACTTAGTTACTTTGTTACCTATAATGATAAGAAATG